AACACTGAGAGAACGCTATGCATGTTCTATGAAGTCGGTTTATCTGTGGATCGACCTCCCAAATGGGCTTCATTTATATACTTTATTTTGACTAGTTGGATGAGATAATGTATACACTCAAAGAACGAACGTCACAAACAAATACTCTTTACTTTTGATATAATCAAGTGACCATTGAGTTTATTTCAGGAATAATTTTTATTGGATTGTTAATGATCTTTTTAGTAGCTGCTAATATCAACCCCCACTAACACTCATAAAAAATCTTCCGGTTTTCTAAATTTAGCAGAATACATGTTGTTTTATATGTTTAAAGGAAATACAAATTAAAATAGCAGCCATTTTTCTCGATTTATTTGTGGAATACTTAAAATCATATTTTCATAATTAAACATTTATGTAATAATAAACTTAGATATGAGATTAATTTAAATTTCTGTCTTAATTTTCGAAACATTTAACATAACCATTTATATTTATAAATAGGTGTACACCCGACATTGGTTTGCATTCAACAGATAAAATAAAAAACTTCCTTATATCATACAAAGTTATGCACATTTTTTGATCATTATTCGAGGAAAATGAACTTAATCACACTCGAAGAATAGGAAATGTCGCTTTCTCTCAACTCTGCTGGAAATATTTTCTAGAACAAGTAGATACGGGTATCTTAAGGTCGGATTCTTCTCATATTTCTTGTATTTAAAAATTAATGAAATTTTCACAGAATCAAGAAGACAATATCAGTAAGTGATAGTATCAGTCAGATTAAATTTGACCGATTTATATTAGAGGCAAGGTCAGGTCAAGATCATTATCTTTTTCCTTGACATTATGAATAAAAAAATACTGTTGCCAATCATGTGATGCCTACTTCTATTTCAAACGTTTAAATACTGTTCTTTTTGCATAAAAAGATATAACTATATCGGGTCTATAGCATGATATTATCCTTTTACATAAATAATTTAACTAAACTGGATATTGTGTAATCCGAATTTTCTCTGTTTTTCTTAATTTTTAGGATATATTAGTTATTTTGAACTGCTTCCTATATTTAAGTTTTTCTTATTTTCACATATAATAAAGTAGTCGTATAAATGTACAAAATGATACAAAAACAAAAAAGTTTTTTATCGTTTACTTAGAGAGAAAAAATACTTTTCATGGATTTTTGGCTCAAATCTTTACTTTGATTGGAAGCTTTTAAAAGCTAACATAGTTCTAGTTTGTTTTGAAAATCATATTTATTTGACATATTTTGAAAGTTTAGTCCCTATTATTAATTTAACTTACATTTGCAAATTTCTTCAAGTCTTTCATTGTGTAAAAATTATAATTAAATTCATTGTTCTATTATAATTTTGAGAGGCAGAAAAGAAGATATTTTCATACACCACCATTCCGCCAAAAATATAGTCCCTGCTAGTTTTCAAACGCACTTTACCATTTCTTTTTAAAGTTGTACCATTGTGATAGAGAAAGAAAAAATATGGTCTTTTAAATTCCTTACGCCTAAATTTATAAGACAGAAAAGCAAATATACATACTTTGAATGTTTCATCTAGTCAGAAACCAGAGAAGAATCCTACCTTAAGAGATAAAGTACTATAGCAATTTCCCTTTTCTTTGCAAAACTGAAAACAATACATGGTGTCTATATCTCCCCTTCAAAAATCAATTCAGTATCAAATATCTTTTTTGCACACTCATGAATTTCCACAATACAAAACAAATGAAAATGAAGGATATATGTTGGATAATAAATGAACTGTGAGAAGGAAAGATGAATAATGATTTTGATTTCTTTTAATATAAAAATTGAATTAAAGATATGTTATATAAAGGGGTCATTGAAACATCCAACAACCCGTGGAGCTCCCATATAGTTTTAGTCAAAAAGGACAATGGGTCAATCAGATTTTGCATTGACTATAGGAAATTAAATGACATCACAATTAAAGACAGTTACCGAATCCCTAGAATTGACTGTACACTAGATGCATTATCACGGTCTAGGTGGTTTTCGACAATAGATATAAAGAGCGGATACTGGCAAGTCGAGATGACTCCAGAAGATATCCCAAAACAGCACTTTCGATACCCACAGGTGGACACTGGCAATTTCGTAAAATGCCTTTTGGCTTATGCAATGCTGGTGCGACTTTCAAAAGACTCATGGAAAAAATTGTCTTGGAAAATCTGTTTAATGTACCTTGACTTTATTAAAGTCCTCTCAAAACGTTTTGATGAACAATAGACAATTTACGACAAGTCTTTACACGTTTGCGTGAAGCTAATTTGAAAATGAAACCTCAAATTGTACTCTTTTACAAAAAAGGTCTCGTTCTTATGACGCATAGTTGGGGAAAAGGGTATTGCTACTGGCCCTTCAATAGTTGAAGCGGTAAGAAATTGTCCTATCCCATCAAATGTGAAAGAAGTAAGAAGTTGTGCTTCTGCTATAGGAAATTTGTTTATAAAGGACGACTGCACTTAAGGATCTGCGAAATTTCCATGAGAATGAACTTCCAAAGCAGATATTCTTCTTTTAAATGCAGGAATGATCAACATCTAATTTACAACTGAACTTAATTACAATAAATAAAAGTATTTATTTACGATGTATGCATTTTTTTTTCTAAAGCGGGGATCATCACAAGTTCTTCAATCTCCGTACGATAATGAAGACGCCCTTTTTTCTGATCAAAAAACATAGTTAGCGCATGTTTGTCTTTTGATCTCCTTTTAACAGAAATTGTATATTTGTGTTAGTTATGTTTTGTTAAAAGGAGATAAATAGACAAACATGCACTCGTGGTTAAAAAGAAATAAAACTGCTTCTTACACTCGCTTTCCCTGTTGTAACCAAAGGCTGTGACAAAGGCTTGAATATTATAATTCATGTTAGATGTTAATGGCAAATTTATCCTAGACACTGTCGCTTCCAATACTTCCAATATCACAGATTCGAGATGGCGTAGAAGAGGTTATTTGTTATTATAGTAAATATTGTAAGTGTGTCCGAACGCCACTATACTGCGTAACTAGAAGAGAACTTTTAGTCATAGTGAACTCAATTAAGCATTTTCATCACTATTTGTACGGAAGATGTTTTAAAATTAGGACAGATCACGGATCTTTAACCTGGTAACTTAATTTCAAGAACCCAGAAGGTCAGATCGATAGGTGGTTTGAGTTCCTATCCTCGTATGACTTTGACATAGAGCACAGGGCGGGCCGTTCTCATAATAATGCAGATGCATTGTCTCGTAGGCCGTGTACTAAACTGTAAATAGTGTAGCTCAGCTGAAGGGCAGTACAAAGTAAATTCTGACTGAGCTAATATAAATCTGTCAAACATCTGAGACATATGGAACGCCAAATTAACATATATTCAAATATTTGTACCTATCTTCAAATAATTGCACCTATCTTCAAATAATTGTACCTATCTTCAAATGAATTGAAGATAGGTACAATTGAATTAAAGATAGGTACAATTAAATTGAAGATAGGTATAAATAATTATACCTATCTCTAAATAATTATACCTAGGTACAAATGAATTGTACCTATCTTTAATAGAATTACACCTATCTTCAATTCAATTAAAGATAGGTTCAATTGAATTATACCTATCTCTAATTCATTTGAAGATAAGTATAATTGATTTAAAGATAGGTACAATTGATTTAAAGATAGGTTCAATTAAGACAAAGGATTTGAAGATAGGTACAATTCAATTATACCTAGGTTCAATTCGTTTTATGTTGTTGGTAAATAATGAACGCTCCCTTGGAGACAATATTGAGTATGGAGGGAAACGCACAGAAACTACAGAGCGACGACAACTAGGATGAAAGGAGAAATAAAGGTTAATTCAAAATGTGCAGAAAGCATCATATACTTATAAAAATACACATGTACATCATGTAAGTTTATCTTGTATTGCAGCCAGATGAAGATTCCGATAAACTTTCGCGCCAGTTGCGACGTATCGGAAATGACCTATGATAAAGGGAGTAGTTGTTATTGCCAATATCTTAGTAATTAAAGATAGGTTCAATTCAATTGTACCTATCTTTAAATCAATTATACCTATCTTCAATTCATTGCATTTGTACCTATCTTCAAATCAATTGTACCTATCTTCAAATGAATTAAAGATAGGTATAATTGAATTGTACCTATCTTTAATTCATTTGAAGATAGGTACAATTGATTTAAAGATAGGTACAAATTCATTTGAAGATAGGTACAATTCAATTGAAGATAGGTACAATTATTTGAAGAAAGATACAAATATTTGAATATATGTTAATTTGGCGTTCCATAGAGACAGGGACTAACTGAGACAGGGACTGGGCATTAACAAGGAATTGAACAAAATTGTTAGTTCAGATCTTAACAAAAAAACTAAGAGCTTAAAAATACATGCAAACTGTTCTGTTCTAACCAGATCTGGTGGTAAATCTGCTCTTCCCCTTGATATCCCAACAAAACAAACTGAAAATGTAGCAAACAATGAAACAGTTGTAAGTGAAAATAGTATCAGTTCTTTACAATTGAAATACTTAGATTTGAATAAAATGGGTAAAGTCAGGTCAAAAACCCACTCGGGAAAATATTTCACATACAAGTGAGTCTTGGGAATATTACTGGACTAAATTTTACTCACACTCAATCATGGGAGGGACCCTGTATCACAAATAGGAAGATGTTCACCCCAAATTGTTTTACCAAAACCCCTAAGTAATTAAGGGGTTACATGATGATGTTACTGGGGGTCATTTGGTTTTTAGCTCACCTTAGCCGAAGGCTCAAGTGAGCTTTTCTGATCAAAATTTGTCCGTTGTCTGTCTTCGTTGTTGTCGTCGTAAACTTTTCACATTTTTATCTTCCTCTCAAGAACCACTGGGCCAATCTCCTTAGGTGAAGGGGATTCAAGTTTGGAAGGGCCAAGCCCTTTTCCGAGGGGAGATAATTATGAATTAGTGAAAAATTAATGGCATTTTTCAAAAATCTTCTTCTCAAGAACCACTGGGGCAGGAAAGATGAAACTCATATGGAAGCATCCTCAGGTAGTGTAGATTCAAATTAGTACAAATCTTGACCCCCCAGGGTTAGGATGGGGCCACAATGGCCGATCAAAGTTTTACATAGGAGTATATAGGGAAAATCTTAAAAAATCTTCTCGGGAACCACTGGGCCAGGAAAGATAAAACTCATGTGGAATCATTCTCAGGTAGTGTAGATTCAAGTTTGTTCAAATCATGACCCCAGGGGGTAGGGTGGGGCCAAAATGGCTGATCAAAGTTTTACATAGGCACACCTCCTAACCTCATTAGCATAAATCGGAAGAATTCGGAGATAAACGTAATAAAATATGAACAAAATCCGTAAACGTCCGAACAGCTTTTCTCACGAGAATTCAGCGAGACCAACATGCTAGAGGTGAAAATCGAGAGAGAAAATTAAACATGAAAAAAGAGGTAAAACTTTATGTTATCTCGATTTATAAGATTTGTAAATTGCAAAAAGTTGAAAAACAAACGTTTCTTTACCTGAAAAGTGAAAGTAGATTCGCAGTTTCTTATTATGTCAAGTGCTATTGCACTTTAAAGTGTCAAAACAGCACCTCTCGATTTTGTAAACATGTTTCCACGTGGAAGGGAGTAGTTTATGTCGGTCAAGATTAACCCACATACATTGATTTAGTAAACAAAAACACTCGTAAGTAGAATTTCATTTAATTTTTCGATTACCTGTAGCACAAAATGGCTAAAAATTTAGGACATGTTTGTCAAATGCTGTTAATAGCATGTTTTAAATTGAAGAGAAAATGCAGGTGTGCTACAGTTCGTTCCTACTTGTAAGGTAGTCTACTGTGCATGCATATGCAGAGTTACGCGTATAAAAGTCATTATTCTTACTTATCAATACCCAGTGATTTGTGAGAACCATGTGTTTTTTCTCAAATAGGCCTACCAAGAGAATATCCGTACTCGTGTGTATGCACAAGAAGTTCTTCCGAATTTCCTCTACACATATACATGTGTACCTGGATAAAGGATTAAAGGTTTGTTTACATTTGTTTGCATTTTTAATAGTGTCAGCTGTTTATATCAATCATGCAGTTTGGGACGTGGAGACCGATCCTTCGGATGAGACCATATAAACCGAGGCCCCGTGTCACTGTAGGTGCTGGCACAAAAAAGATCCCTCCCTGCTCAAAGGCCCTCTGTGCCGAGCATAGGACAAAATTTGTAGCCCTCCACCAGCAAGTAGTGGCGTCTCCATATGAGTGAAAAATTCTCAAGAGGGACATTATAACAACATACAATCATGAAATTTTTGAATATTTCATTGTTTACCACTATTTTCTCTTTTAAAGTATTGCCCATCTAAAAGTAGCTACTGAAATACAGTATGAATATTATAAAACTAGAGGTACTGTGAGCAATGAGCTCTGACACTAAATGATACCCATGCCATCGCTTCTCATATGAATATAATGACTGTGTTTTGATATGGGAAACCCCAAATATGTGGCGGATCAAAAATTAAAATGGAAGATGCACAATTGCAATATGTAATATAGATTCTGTGAAAGTCATCAAATATCACTCAGTGGTATGAGGCCAAAATAAAAAATAGTCTTGTTTCCTGCTACCCGACCTGCCCTATTTTTTTGCACCCAATCCTAAAGTTTTTTTTAGCTTTTGAGGAAAAAAATCAAAATTTTAGGAATTTCATGTTGCAAAAGTGAAAAAAATATATATACTCAAGTTGTATTACATGAAATATATATGTTTAGAATATGGACTTTTATAAAATTCCACTTGAGTTGTGCATCAAAAGACATGGAATTTCATTTTAAAAGATGATATTGACCTTTAAGTTAGCTATGACATCATCATGTTCAATTTGGTTTTGTAGTAGTTCATATCCAAAAAAATACTGTTGGAAAAATAAAATAAAATTAAAAAATAAAATAATTTTCCAACATACCTACCCTATTTTTTTCTGGCTGGTAGCAGGATAACTGGCCTGAGAGGAATTAGCGGATAAGGGATGCATGGTTACACCAAAGCATAACAGACGGACATACCGATTACTTAATATATCCTCCCGCTAATCAAGCGGGGGGTATAATAAATTACATGCATTCATGCATCAATCTGTGTAATGAAAAAATATTGCTTAAGATAATTTACATTGATGTTTTGCATTTTTGTTTGTAAGAATACAGGTATTTCATTTACATATTGTTTAATTATTTCAATGTGTTAAATGAAAAGTAATTTTCTTTTTTGTTTGTCTATTGCAGGTTAGAGTACAGTTTGAACAGCCATCTCCAGGTATGACAAAAATAACACAATTGACCCTATAAGGTAATAAACAAACATTATTGAATTTAGAAAATGTATATCATGAAGCACAAATGTGAAATCATTGTAGGCCCAGGCAGGAAATAGTTAACTGCTCACTCAGGCTTTTTACTGGTCAGCTCATCATATTATCATCCCACTGGCTACTAGATTTTAATAAATTTAAAGAGACTGACCCAAAACCATAATAATGAAATGACAGAACTTTGAAACAAGCCTGTCAAGTTACTAGTCCAACTATAATTGTATTTTGTTATACATAGACCTGACCCAAAAGACAGATACCCCCTACCGTGTACTAGCCTAGATAAAAAAATCACTGATCCATGCAGTCGTGTGGGCCTTCAATTATTTTTTAGCCTTGCATGGCCTTCAATTATTTTTTTGTTGTTTGATTTTTTAATGATATGCACCATCCCACACAAATTATACACACAAGAAAATATATTTATTTCCTTTTTTAAAATATGGGCTTTGCTGATCTTTACATGTATACAATGTATGTCTTTTCTTTTAAGGAATATGACATTGTTGATTGAATTTAAAAATGGTCTTCAATATGTATGTGTATGATACTGTATTAAATGCACAAAAATTATAATTTCATTAAAATAAAACAAAAAAAGCAAATACACTGTATAAAAAAAGAAAATCAAATAAATTCAATTATAATGTGCAATGAATGTTTCTTGCAGGATATATACTCTGAAGACGGTGATGTGAAAGTTCAAGGTTTGACTGTTGTGAGTATTGTATATGTAATTGTAAGGATAAATTTATAACATTTAACAGGCAACATTATTATTTAATTTTTATCATCCTGATCATGCTGATTGGAATAAACAAAGAAAAAATATTAAGCATGCCCAATTACTCCAATATCTACATGTACATGTATATGTTATAGTTACACTATAGATATTAATTGGTTAATGGTAAATACACTCACAGTTTTTTATTCACGAGGGGCGGAGCATTTACCATTAACCAATTAATATCTATTGTGTAAGTTACTTGTACCAGAGGACCAATGAGAGAAAAGCTGGTTGACAGTTAGCACCGCCCACTTCATCCTGTCAAGCCATGGTCCAGAGTCTGTATAAATACCTTTCTCCAACTGAACGGATTGCATTTTGAATGCTGAATCTGGGGTATAGTCGATCAAAAAAAAAAAAATCGGAATGATTTGTCATTATTGGGTACATGTGAAGATGTTGCAGCTTAGACAGAGGGCTTGAATTTTGTCAGGAACAGAGGTAGCGTCGTAAACTATTTTATTTTAGGCTGTTATTCCTTTCGCAGATTTTTAATTGGGGGGGGGGGAGCAATGGAAAACATCGCCGATTGAACTTTTCATTTCGATCAATGTACAAAAAGCGCTATACGATTCATGACATTTTAAAGAAAGTTTTAATAGTACTGCAAGCATAGCCATATTAGGCGTCGGAAGTAAATTGAAATGGGGGGGGGGGGGCTAAACCAACAAGAAAAGGTAAACCCCAATTTTAAATGCCTTTATATTATGTCTATCTTTCCAAAGAAGTGGGGGGGGGGGTTCCGACGCCTATGTCAAGTAAAATGGGGACCTTTAACATATTTAATGTGAAATTACTGTAAACCAACTTTTATTCGCGTGCGAGAAATTTTCGCGAAGTTCGCGAGAGCCTCTTTATCGCGAATATTTCTCGCCGCGAACCGGTCCTTATAGTATATCTGTCTATTAAAAACAGATGCAAAAAGGCTTACTCGCGAAAATTAATCGTCGCGAACTACTCTATTCCTGGTAAATCGCGAAATAAAGTCGTCGCGAATAAAAGTTGGTTTACAGTAATAGGTGGAGACAAGAATAAGAATAAAGACAATTCGAGATAGAACGTATAACAGGATACGCTTAGTAAAAAACGAAGCGAATGTTGACAAATTAATGTTAGTTTTCTTGAAGTTTAAAATGTTGACTAAATTCATTTATCAGCTATTGCCAAGGTTTTGAAATTTACACCATTCATTCATCAGTCAAAGTTTTGTCACATTTTGGCTTAATGCCAAATTGTGGGCGTGACTTAAAAACCGTGGTTCTTCTGGCAAATACACCACAGCAACATCAAAGTAAAATCT